GCTTTCAAAATAATGTAACCCGATTTTATACTGATAAACGCAGATTCACGAAAACTGTTATCTTATATCTATAACTTTATATAAAACAAATTTGCACCTCGAAGTTTCTATGCTGAGATCTCAATTTTAGAAATAGCTTTGTTTAATTTATTTTTTATTGTTCCACGACAAAGTAACTGTAATGTACCTACCTGATGGGAAGTGATATTACAGTCTAATTAATAATAGTCGTAGTAGTCAAAAGTCGAAACAACTCCCGGTAGCCACCACTATCTTGCCGGCCTGTTAAAGAGCCTTTTCACATCACTTTTGAAGGACCCAAGGTTATATTTAATTGGAAACACGTGGGATGTGAGACTGTTCCACATTTTATTAGTACGGTTAATACAGTGACGTAGTGGATAAGCGCCGCGACCCGCGATCGTTGTCGTTAAGCAACTTTCGCAAGGGTCGGTCACGGGATGGATGACCAAAAAAATTATTATCTCGAGCTACTCCGGGCTTCGGAAGGCACGTTAAACCGTTGGTTGCGGCTGCATCTGCCGTCGTTAAAACCCTCCAATCCGCATTGGGCCAGCGTGGAGGGTCATGGCCCATCCCTCTTAACCATCCACAAGAAGGGCCTGAGCCCCTGGGCAGTGGAGACGTAAAAAGGGCTAATGATGATGATGATGAAGTATGATTCGCCGATTTTTTTGTATATGGTAACAGTACAAACAATCGGGAAATGACAGTGAATAGAACACCGGGACGTGTTAATTTGTTTGACTAAATTCATTTTCTTTTAACTATGTTTTAGTTAAGACAAATGTAATATACCTTATTTGCCTACAGAAATAGACAAATGGCGGACTTAATGCCAAATAGGCATTCTCTACCAGTCAACCAGTAAATTTAGTAAAAACTTAAAGAGGCGACAGACATAACGAATGTGGATCTACACTAGACTATATCATATATACATAATAATATATATAAATATATATCATATAAGCAATAGTATTACAATAAAAGATATATATACATTTACATAAACATATACATATATAACCATAACACAAATTACTAATCAAAATCTGGTGTCGGATCAAGAAATCTTGTTAGAAGCATGGTAGAAGTTGCGAGCTGCTGTCTTGAATGTAAATTTGTTAGGAGCACTCCGGACGTTCAAAGGCAATGAATTCCAAAGACGGATGGCAGTAAGAGTGAAGGAATGAGATACAAAACCAGAATGGTGAGAAGGGGTTTGGAGCACCAGTCTACTACTGGAACGGAGATTTTTCTTGTGAGAGGCACCGAGGATTTCGAACCGTGACTTTAAATACTCAGGTGCTCGTGGATCAAAAAGTATCTGATAAAGTGTGCAAACAATCCTTAAGTGCCTACGCTCCCGTATAGGAAGCCACTCAAGATGTTGACGATAATTGGAGATGTGGTCATATTTACGCAGACCGAAAACAAAACGAATCGTATTGTTCAGAAGACGATCCAATCTATTGAGAGAGGTTTGATTGATATCTGAAGTACAAACATCAGCATAATCGAAAAGGGGATGTACAAGAGCTTGGATGAGAGCAGACTTAGTACGGGGAGGGAGAAAGTTCTTAAGTCGATAAAGTGAGCCGAGAGCGCGATGGATTTTACCACAGACATTATCCATCTGGTCATCCCAGTGCAAAGTACTGTCAAGAATAAGCCCAAGATTTTTTACCTTAGCAGCATAAAGGATCACCGAGCCAGCATAGACAACAGCTGGAATTGTGTTGAGATTAGTTTGCGATATTTGTCGTGAGCTACCAATAATAATGGCCTGACATTTGTTGGGATTGACAGAAATACCGAAGCTTTTTGACCATTCAAATATACGCGAAAGATTTTGGTTCAGTATACATATAGCCTTATTCAAGTTGTGAATGTCATCCTGAGCATATATCTGCAGGTCGTCGGCGTACAGGTGATAAGAGGTTGTAAGAACAGAAGTGAGGGAGTTAATAAAAATTGAGAAGAGAAGAGGAGAGAGCACACCGCCTTGAGGGACCCCAGCAAACAAGTCACGCCAGTTAGAAACTAAATTACCCACTCGTACTGCCTGCTGGCGTCCATGAAGATAAGAGGAGAACCATGCGAGCACGGATGAAGAACAGCCAAGCTTAGAAAGAAGAGCAAGGAGGACATCGTAATCAACTGTGTTAAAAGCGTTTGAAAAATCAAGTAAAACTAACACAGTTAAACGAGAGTTCTCCATACCATCACGAATATCGTCAACGATTTTAATAAGGGCAGTGGAGGTGCTATGACCTGGGCGGAACCCTGACTGGAAAGGGGATAGGAGCTGATAACGAAAAACAAAGGATGAAAGTTGTTTATGTACAGCAGCTTCGAGAACCTTGGAGAGGAAATGCAAAATTGAAATTGGTCTATAATGATTCATGGAGTCAGGACAAGAAATTTTAGGGAGAGGGATAGTGTAAGCCCTTTGCCAGGCATCGGGAAAGGAACCAGATGTTAAAGAATGGTTAAGTATTGAGGTTAGTGTCGGGAGAATAGCATCAAGTAACAGATTTATCATATTCCTGCTAATGTTGTCGGATCCCATAGCCTTGGACTTTATAGAGACAATCAACTTACGAGTGTCATCTACAGGCGATACAGTCGTAGAGAAAGTCTGGATAAACTGAGGAACTTAGCGTTGACAGGGAGGGTATTAACAGGAGAGAAATGACGGTTGAGATCATCTAACGCGAAAGGGCAGGAAGGCTGAGCGCGAGACTTTCCTAACCCCAGAGAATTCAGGAACCTCCACATTTCCGCAGGGGAGGAGTTAATAATGGTTTTATGAATGTAATGGCGTTTGGCTCTTCTTATCACCTGGTTACACCTGTTTCTGGCAAGTCTAAATGCCTCCCAGTTTGTATCAGTACGACACCTTTTATAGAAACGAAACGCTTTGTTACGTCTACGCATCACAATGCGCACATAAGGGGTAATCCATGGTGCAGGAGGTCGTTTCAACTTGACAGTCTTGACTGGAGCATGATCGTCATAAAGCTTGAGGATTACGCTATTAAATCTGGCAACCATATCATTTACTGAGGCAACATTGCATACAGAAGACCAATCAATTAGAACTGCATCCCTCATAAGCGCCCCAACATCCAATCGTGCGAAATTCCTCATGCGAACCAACCTCGGCTTAATTTTGGGGGGCTTAACCTTATAGACGACAAAGAATAAAATATTCTCTGAAAAATATTATTAATTAAAAATGCTTATTAAAAATTGTGGATTGCACTCATGCGCACGCTTTATTTTATTTAAACTGTGTTGGCACTGACGTGCACTTTGATGACCGATTGTCAATTCGCGAATGGGATCAGAATGCTTAGTGTAAGTTTTTTGATGTTTACATTCACTGTCGATCGTGAGCGCGTTAAGATTTTAGTATAGAATCCGGTACAGCGCCTCTAGCGGTAACTACCAAGAAGTATAAATCTCCATACAAATTCTTAACGCGCTCACTAGTGAACGCGTTAGCGTAAAACTTACACTTACCACTCTGGAGTCCCGAATTACAAAGTTGCCCTAACTCAGGCTGCTGATCGTACAAAATAACTAATCATAAATTGCTTGCCTATCGATAGATGATTGTGTGATAAGCATACTGATTAATATGGCTAGTGTTATAGCGAGATATAATGCTGCCCGATGCACGAATGTCCAATAAATTTATCATTGGTTCAATGTGTCATTACCTACCGATATAAAATTTCCAATTAAGTATACTCATGAGAGATTAAAGAAGTCATTAAATATTTGTGCAACTGGGTGATAAGCGGTCGGTCTACTGTTACTAAAGGTAGTCTTATATTTTTTTACTAACACAGACAAAGTCGGGACGCGACTAGTGTTATTACAATTCATTCAACTTTTTATCGCGACGGGAAGCGCTCTTGTCAGTAGTTCTACAATTACGTTGAACGATTTTTAAATATATTCCCCTCTCTGCTTTGTTTATCAGGAATTGGATTTATCATTTAAAATGTATGTTCATTTATTACAGGTTTTATTACAATATAGGTTTACATGATGTGATTTTAAGTAAATAATTTCAACTGCTTATTTCCTATTTGCTTAGTATTTGTGCTAGTCCGTGCCATTATTCATAAAAACAATTTATTCTACTTTTAGTATTTATTGTTTTGGCGGCAACAGAAACACATCATTATCATTAAAAATTTCAATAGCCTAACTACCACGGTTCATGAGATGCGGCCTGGTGACAGACAGACAGACAGCGGAGTCTTATTAATAGGATCTAATTGTATCCTTAACATTAGGCATACTTTTTCCTTAATTTCAGGTTTAATACAAGTAGGTTCGAAGGGGAGTGTACGTTTGCTTTGTCTTTAGTTTTAAAAAAATCTTAACAAGATCTTTCATCCGACATGTCATACAATACGATAAAACACAAAAGATACTAGAGAACTTCATCCATTTTAAAAGACGTCTATTAAAAAATATACAGCAGAACAAACAAACTTTATCAAAATATTATTCCTTAATAAAAATGGTTCAAAAATTCCTTTAGGTTAGGTACTTGTTTGTGGTTCGAAGTCTTAAACACTTGTTTATAAATTTGAACAAAAAGAGATGTAAAAAAAAAAATTAAATAAACCAAATAGATAAATAGACAATCAGTATACCGTTATAAAAGTAAATAAACAAACATTATAAAAAGTAACTAAAGATATTTTCAAGAATAAATTATTAGAATCATCAAATTTTAACAAGAAGTCGTTACCTAAGTATAAGATATGTGGCGTATTTATTTCTTTTGAGTGATCTATAGTTTCATATTCGGTCAGTGCGCATTTAGACGCGGTATGCGCAACATAGTAATCGGCTGTGGTAATTAATTAACATCTAAAATGTGTCAATATTTAGTGATACATATATTTGTTTTAATAAATTATTTGTTTGTGTGCACATTGGGTGGTGATATGTTTCATGTGAAAAGTAAAACTATTTTTGTTCCCGATGAAAGGTCAGATTACTTTGGATATGCAGTGTCTTTGAGCCATTTAGGGTTGGTATTCTCAATGTATATTTTTGTTTTATGTACGAGTATTTAAGTTCCAATTCATGTTATTATTAAGACTTACAATAATTAACAACATTATTATGACACTAAACACAACTACTAATTGAATCTTATGTTAATATAAATAAGTAAAATCTATCTATTAATATAATTTAAATATATTATAATTAAAAAAAAATAACTCATCTTGATCCTAGTCTGGCTGTATGTAATTGACTATGAATATTATAAGCAAACGTTTACTAAATTATTGTGACATTGATTAATAGAATATTATCCCTAGTTTTATTAAAAGAGTTGCATTAAAATTTGATAATTATAAATGTACTTATGGCGGTCGTACACTGAAAGCTTATCAATACAAATGCGAGTTATGATGATCTCGCGCAAATTATAAATAATACTTTAATGTATCTATGTTACTTTTTTTTTATTTATTTTGATTTACCAACATTTAATACATTATTACAAACCATAATAACTAGATTTAGCTCACAAGAAGAAATGTATCAAACAATTACAGGTAAATACCACATGCAATATTACTATTTTTTTTTTACAAAGTATATGATATTGTTGATCCATCAAAAAATTTACTTACCGAATCTCCAACCCTCAACAATTAGTTAATAAATTTTTTCAATTATCTTTACAAAGACTGAGACCACAAAAATGCTACAACAGTTACATGAAGTTTAAGCCAAGGATTAATATAATTTTTTAATGAATGTAGTTCTTAATTAATTTCTTACGAATCATTTTTTTATGTAAAGCCCCAACTTAGTGATTGGTAGTCGAAACTACCATGAAAAATAATAAATTTAATAATATTAACCACAGTACAGATAAAATCTAAGTCCACAATAAAATTTGGAGAATAATAAACACCAAACTTCTCATCGCGTTAAATATTTCGTATATGCTAACATCAAACGCAAAACATGCCAGGTACATTTTCTATGTGTGCTAGTTTATTAAAAGTATTATTTAAAAATTTCCTAGTGTGCCCTACCATTTCAACAAATATGACTATATCGTCATGATACATCACATCACCACATCACCAGCCCTTTTACGTCCCCACTGCAGGGGCTCAGGCCTTCCTTATGGATGGTTAAGGAGGATGGGCCATGACCCTCCACGCTGGCCCAATGCGGATTGGAGGGTATTAACGACTGCAAATGCAGCCGGGACCAACGGCTTAACGTGCCTTCCGAAGCACGAAGTAGCTCGAGATAATAGTTTTTTGGTCACCCATCCCGTGACCGACCCTTGCGAAAGTTGCTTAACGACTACGATCGCGGGCCGCGGCGCTCATGATACATACATATAAAATGATAATTATCTGTGTCATGCATGAGTCTTGCAATTTGCTGTAAAGCATCATCATCGCTCGCGCCTCTTAAATTTAGTGTGACGAAGCTTTATTTCTTATTGATAGTGTTCCGAAATTACAACTTCCGTAAACTTTTATTTTAAGCTTTTGCCCGCGACTTCGCTTGCGTTGTCTAATTTTAAGTCCAGAAATAAGAAAATTTCCGTAGAAACTTTCATCCCCTAATTTACGAATTTTGTAGAATCCCATCTAAGCAAGAACCTGCGTCCTAAAAAGAACCCGCATGCGATATTTGAAATTCCTAGCAGTAACGAAGTTTCATAAAAATTTTCATCCCCTAATTTAGCCGTTTTGAGATGGAATTTTCAAAAATCCTCTCTTAATGCTCCTCTACACTCCCTAAGAAAAAAAAGCCCAATAATTCCCAGTTTCCGAGTGCTTGCTGTACTTAAAGTTTATGCAAAATTTAATTTACAGCTATTTATTTTTTTAGACTTCACGTGGGAGCGCCAAAGGCGAAAAGCAGGACAGTGAGAGGCAGTTTTCCTGGGCTCGTATTCTCATGCCCAGTGACACATTTAGACAGCGGAAACGCGAGTTGCGACCCTCTCGGAAAAAATGGTATGTCTAAGAATTTTAATACACAATTTAGGTTGAAAAACACAGCGCAACGCATTATAGATCTGGTGCTAATTAATAAAAATATTTCCGTTGTCTGATTCATCATCGTTACCATCAGCCTATTGTAGGATATACATGGAATTGTCTAATGACCTTGATTCACCACATCGGTCCAGATTGGAGGGTAAATGACAACAAATGCAACCATGATCAACAGCTTAACGTGCTTGCTGAAGCATAGAGGAGCTGGAGATAATAAATATTTGGTCACCCATCCTATGACCGACCTTTGCGAAAATTGCTTAACTTCCTAACGCGAACGAAACGCGCCAACCACTGCGCCATTGAGCTTCACATTGTGACATTATTAGAACCTAGCTGTTTTCCCGCGACTTCGCCTGCACAAATTGGCTATCGTGACAACGTACTTTCCTTTAAGTGGGTACAGTAGTTTAAGAGGCTATTTGATGCAACCTTTCCGTTTTCTATTAATTTATTTTCATTAAATCACAGATAGTTACAATCGTCGCATGAGGATTCACCTTCCAAACGATTTCTATAAAGATGACATGTGGTTTGGAGCTGTTATCACTGTAGCTAAAGATAATTTATTGGTAAGATATCAAATAAATCCTAACTCTTATCCTTAAATTATTCGCCTAAATCTCAAAGCGTAACAATGATTCCCTAAAACATCACGTCGTTCAAGGCAGGGTAGAAGGGACCAGGGAATCTAGTTTCGACAGATTTGCGATCTTTAAGTAGCGATCGCAGAGTTCAATAACCGAGCTGTCGTACTCAATCGCTAGAAAATTATCGAATATCGCTAATTTAATAGTTGAACTCGGTTCGAGCTTAACAAATAACAATCTACTTAGCTGTAACGACAAATTACAATAGCTATGAGTTAGCGTCTGAATTCTGTAAAATTGCAATCGCAAACTCACCGATGCGATGGACCAACCGTCTAAAGCTTATCTTAGATAATTCGCATTCATGTCAAAAATTATGATAGCATTAATGCAATATATTAAAAAAAAAGTCACGATGCATTCACTATCACATTTCAAATAATTATAGCGGAAGTTCGTGAATATCTTGCAAAGGACATCGCCGAAAATGGCCCCAATACCATTAAATATTAATACTTCAATAATAATTACTAACTTATTTATTAAATTGGAATCAAATATTTATTTGACACGGACAAGCTGTGATCCAAAATTAATATTTAATAGTACTTTAACAGTAACATTTTTATTCGCAAATATTCACTTTCAATATACTTAAATTCTATTGAATCAGATGGATGTAATTTACACATCAGATCAAGAAGATCATTTATTTTTATTAGATAACCTTTAAATCATCGAACACAAAAACATTAAATTAAATTGACCGAAAATAAACTTAAATTTACTAAAAACGCCATCTCTTGGTGATTTTCCAACTAAAACATAAGGACATAAAAACTGAATATTATACAAACTAAATTCATTAACTGTTGATAATTCACTCTTGTTTATTCAGAAAGATTGATATTCATACGACATATCCTAAAAACTACTTTGTTTCTATTACATTAACTTTATATTTCTCGTAAACATATTAACATCATGTCATTTATGTATTTAAGGCGTCATCTTTTGATGTAAATCATCAAAAAGCTATAGGTTTTTTAATGTCAAGCTTATCAATAGGTATATTATTTAACTATTATAATGATTTATTTGTCGATTGACTTAGAAACTTTTACAAATCACGACGAAAAACCGACTTTCTTAAAGTTGAGTTTTTTTGCTTCGACAATATAGACATCAATATCATATCATGTACTTAGAGTGCCATCTCTCTGGTGGTTTTCCAAACAAATTATAACCTCAAAATGAATTATATTTTGCGTGATAATAAGTTCTAAAACTCGGTCGCGGTATAATAAATACATAATGAGAATTAGTTAGTGACACGCAATAAAATAAGTATTTTCCTATATTTTTTTGGCTCTGGGGCCACCAATGTATGGACGTTGAGCAATGTGCTTTGAAAGGGATTGCGATAAATTTGAAAATTAGACAACTAGACCCCTGATAAGAGCCTAGACAATTAAGTTTATTCGTAAACAATAAATAGAGATACACACTAAATAATAATACATACCCAATTTACTATAGACTTGTGTGTGTTATATTTGACTGCCTAAGCAATCAATAAGTGCTAATAATACTTATTTATTGGCCTTTATATACAGTCAAACACCGTCATTATCGGTTTAATGAATTGTTAATCAACTAAAAGTTCCAAATCTGGTCACTAAATATAAAACAAAATGTTGAGCTATTAAATAGCATAGCACTTATCTTAATTATAAGTATTACACAGTAATTAATTATAAGCATCTTTTGTTAGGAAATAGTTTCAATTTTTAGTGATTGTAACTGATATTATTTAACTTAAATGCTTTCATGACACATGCTGTTTGTTACCAATGAGAAATTCGATGCGTAAACTGCGTCTGATAGCAGGATCTCAATTGTGCTAATTTTTCATATTATTAAGCGTTTCAATGGTATCTTAGCTACTTGTATTTTGCCAGTGTATTCCTAACTGTCTCATAAAAAGTTGTAGTTGAAGAGTTATTAGCATATATTGATTGTTTATTATTATTATTGGTGCTAATATTAGCAGAATTGCGTTACTGATCAATCCGAACTATCAATGCTTAAATAGCTATAGCCAAACTTGAATTTGTTTAAAAAACATGAGATAGATTATGTATACTATATGTTTTTATTATTTCCTACTTTAGATTTGTGGACCCAGAGATGTGAGGCAATTTAACGAGAAAAATCTGCTGATAAACGGTGTATGCTTAATCCGCGGGAGGAATAAAGAACAGGGAATATACCCATTAAGGGATAACGGTGAGTTATAATTAGAAGGAAAAGCATGATAATACTAATAACTATTTATTTTCTCTTTTTAATGATACAGCATCGTCGTGCTACAATAAATGTTTCTGCAAATCCCTTTTGCAATCTACACACAACTTAAAATCAATTAAGGAAAGTTATTTTTCATATCATGATGAGCCAGTTGACCGCGTGATATTTTTCGCAATTGTCATATTTGAAAGGAAACGCTATATAAATTATTTTGGAAATCAATTTATCCAACTTTGAGAATTTCACAGCAAAATTAAGCATGGTTACTAATTTCACGAATAGTTAATTTACAATTTTAACATGTCATATTATTTTTTTAATTGAAAAAATGATTTCTTAGAATCCAAAATACCTATTATATTTGTATCATCATCATCATACCAGACCTTTTACGTACCCACTGCAGGGGCTCAGGCCCTTTTTATGGATGGTAAATGAAGATGGGCCATGTCCCTCCACGCTGGCCCAATGCGAATTGGAGGGTATTAACGACTGCAAATGCAGCCGGGACCAACGGTTTAACGTGCCTTCCGAAGCACGGAGTAGCTCGATATAATAATTTTTTTTGTCACCGCGAAAGTTGCTTAACGACTACGATCGCGGGCCGCGGTGCTTATCCACTACGCCACCGTGCTACTCATTTGTATAATTTTTGAGAATTGTTTTTATGTTGCTATGAATAATCTGTTAAAGGAACTAACCTGCATCATATTCTAGTGAAATTATAATAATTCTTAAAACAGCTATAATGCCCGCTTTTTTCGCATCATTAGCTAATAGTATGAATCAGTTCTATCAAAGGAAATTATACAGTCATAGTAATATTTAATGGTTTACAAACTTTACTTTGTATTTGGAAATCATGTTAAGTATCCCCTAATTAATCGTTTTTTTTTTCTTAAATAACGTGACAAATTTGGACTTCACGAAGATAGCAAAATGCAAGTAGTTGAGAAAATAAATCTATGTTGATCTCATTAGAGCAACGTAGACGGATGTACGATTTGCGCACTTTGCACAAAATAGCTAATGGGTTATCTGATAGTAGTCTGCTGGGAAAAATCTTTATTCGGGTGCAGACTCGGTCTCCGCGTTCGCAGCGATTGTTTTCTGTACCCCCTTCTAAAAATAATGTCTCACAAAATAACCCTCTTAACAGAATGTGTACTCATTACAACGAAATCTGTTCCAGTTGTGATATCTTTAATTGTAGTGTTGCCACATTTAATAAACTTATGTATGAGCTGGAACTGATTATGTAATTTAAAATTGATGTTATTGTTTCGGTTAATGACAGTACTTAATCATAGTTACTAATTTGGTTGTTTTATGTTATATATGTTGTATTTATAAAAATATTAACTGAATTCTGTGTGTCACTTATTATTAGTTTATAGCAAATGTTGTGCACAATTGTCATTGGGCACAGGTATACTTAAGTATTAATTTAATGATAGATCTGCTGTATGTTTGCTATTCTGTTGTCTGTGATTGTGTCTTAATAATAAAATAAAAATAAAATAAAATAGAAAATAAATTACATTATCATGATCGGCTTGCGAACGGCTCATCTGTGGAGATCGTCAATGCATGTAAATAACCTAAAAATGGATATTAATTCATTATATTTAAAAAATCTGAGCTTTAACTCAGTCGCGTGTGATCTATTAAATGAGTCGCGAATTACGTTATAACAAAGAAACACCACTATATATCTGTTTAGTGTCATCCTGACTTGACTACAGCAATGCTTAATGCCGACTTAAAGGCTGTGGCTTGCATGATCAAGCTTTGGTTATAGAGCTCAACGTTACATGGGTTGATTTCTTTCGCAGTGCGCCAAGCGTACCGAACAGATGGTCTCAGAAAAGAATATGGAGAATACGGCTATCACCTCAATTATTTTGCCTATGGCCAAGCCGGAATGTCTGCAACGGTTACAAAGAATAACGATATCATTATTGGGGCTCCAGGAGTGTTGCAATGGACAGGTAATTTTTTATTTACATTAATTATAAATTAAAAAAAAATACTTATTTTTATTTCATTGTAATGCATAACAAAATTTGTTACACAAACAGTATAGTTTATCTCAATTTCAAAATTTAAATACGCCATGACGTTACAAGAAATGATGTATATAAAAACAAGAATGTTAATAAGAAAGATCTTTCATTATGTTATATTAATATTATCTCAGAAAAATATAAGAACATATTATAAAATGATGCCCAATCAATGTCAATAAGATCTACTTAAAAAAAATTGATATAAAAAAATAAATAATAGAAGTTTCATCATTTTATCTATTGTGTATTAAATACTTATAATAACGGGAATAAAAGCCTTCAATTCTTCATTAATAACTTGGGAAATTTCGAGCTGCAGAACAAGCTTAGTGGACGGTCGGAGGTTCACGGGGCTTGTTCTTCAGGTCGAAATTTCCAGAACGAAAACGTTGGAACCAAAAATACATGTGTTTTCTTTTACAACACAATCGCCATAGACATAATTAACGGGCTTCGGGCCGTTTACGCAGCACTGGTACCACGGTGGAACTCGTACTCGTAACTAACGCGATATTTCAAATTTTCAATTTTTTATACTGGTGACGTAAATAGGACAAACAGAAAAAAAAACAAATGAATGCCGCCTAACGAAACACAAATACATGTGACAAATACATGGCTGTGTAAATTTGAATTTGGAATTCCCAACCAAGGAGGAGAAATTTGTGATTAAAGTGGCCAGTACGCCAAAGTGCCAATTTCATATGTAAGGATCTAATATATACAGTATTTATATATGGTAATTTAAGAACAAATTATGTTTTTTAGTTCAATTATTTAACAAATTATGTACCTTGAAAATGACCAGATTATAATTGCAAATCTAAATTACAGGCAAAACAGAAAGCATTTGTTTTAATTTACACATTCCAGTTCATGACTAATAAACTTAATAATTAACGATATAACGTCCCTAACAGCTGGTTAAGACAGCCAAACAAAGTTATAGCAACATGGAGTTAACAGTTTACCCTTAAACCGTAATTTTGGGACAGAAAATTTATAAGTTCCACACACCGTTTTAGGAAGTATCCTTATTGGTCAAGGATCCTCTAGTACCTAGTTATGAACGTATATGTGTATATTATATTTATTGTTTATTGATGACTTATCTGTCTATATGTCCACCTCAATTGTGTACTCTACCACCTTTTATCTCCACATCACCCATCCGGTTGACGGGTAGAAAATGCATTAAGTCTGCCAATGTACTCTATGTATGAAGTAATAAATAAAATCTAAATGCTCAGTTTCGCTGATACATCTCTTTCTAACTTTATTTACCTACACATGGCATCCGAATGATAATCGAATTTCATTTACATGTTTTTATTGTTTTAGGTGCCGTTGTGGAATACAAATTGAAACTATCACCTTACAAAGAACCTACGATGAATCCTTACCATACTTTAGAGTTGGGACCTGACGATTATTTTGGTATATTTTCGTAATTAAATACTTCATAGATTTTTTAATAGTACATAAATTTTAGAATTATTTAATCGAGTGCAGATTGGTCTTTATAATGCGATGCTGATAGAAACGCTTACGTATGAAGCTTAGCACAAAAATAAAATAAATGCAATATTCTAAAATTACATAGAATTAACTGAAGTATTAGCTTGAAAGATAATGTCGGTGTTAAAGTTAACAGGATTAGATATAGTTCGTTAGACATTTCAAAAGAATGCTAAACAAAAATATATATCAAATAAAGCAGACGAATATTGAGTTTGTTTGATAAGAGTTATAAATGTTATGGAATAAGAAGTAATAATATAAATGCCTCATAGTATTCTTATGCTTTCTATTTACCTCGCAAGTGGTTTGGCTTAATAATATTTTATCCCATATTTATGTGACAAATCCGTAGAACAGTTATTCTATTATATTTTCTTCTATTGCCAGTGTTATTTACATTCCAATTTTTTAGCTACTCCAACTCGATAGTTCACACTTCATCTATAAATAATAGAGACCAATTTCTGATTCTAAGCTTCATACTAAATTATTTTACACCCCCATTTCGACAGCATAACCAAGTTCTATTTAAGTATTAAAGTCAATTTATTTTCAGTTCCACATTTTATTTAGGGAAATTATATTTTTGTCCATTATTACAGGCTACAGTGTCGAGTCAGGTATTTTTGAAGAAAACGGGACTGTTTTACGCGTCGCTGGAGCACCTCGATCCAGCAAAGGTTACGGTCAGGTATGTAAAACAGCGTAGCTCGATGGCGTAGTGGATTAGCGCCGCGGCCCGCGATCGTAGTCGTTAAGCAACTTTCGCAAGGGTCGGTCATGGGATGGGTGACCAAAAAAAAAAAAAATATTATCTCAAACTACTCCGTGCTTCGGAAGGCACGTTAAGCCGTTGGTCCCGGCTGAATTTGCAGTCGTTAATACCCTCCAATCCGCATTGGGCCAGCGTGGAGGGTCATGGCCCATCCTCCTTAACCATCCATAAGGAAGGCCTGAGCCCCTGCAGTGGGGACGTAAAAGGGCTGATGATGTGATGTGATGTAAAACAAATTAACAATATTGCAGATTAAAATAAATACGAATAGAGATATTGTTATCATAAAATCAAGGGAAGAATTTAGATGATATTAGACTACCTATATTCGAAATTTAATAAGCCATTACAATCTACTTGTATATTAAAGATAAGGTCTTCACCTAAATATTTTGTAAATATATTTAGAATGCATTAAATTTTCCACTTCAATGACTTTTAAAAGTGCTTGTACATCATTTTTATCATACGACGTCTAATTGTCGTATAGATAGACCCTTGGCATTGAATAGAATAGAATAGAAAAGTAGTTATTTAGCACCGAATTTCGAGTAAATAACATTAATAGTATGGTAATAGATACTCAAAAGGTCTCCACAGCAATAAATATGACGTGTTTAAGCTGTGGCGCTGATTTTCAGCGGATATCTTAGGTAAATAAATAAACAAACTAAATAATATAAAATGAGAGGGAGCACGTATAGCACTACATTCAATTTACAAGACACGCTTATAAAGTTATTGTCCGATTCATCAGCTTTACAGTAATATCAATAAATTATCCAATAAGATTGAAAAATGTGTGAAAACAAATTAATATTTTTAATAAAATAATAGCAACAGTGAAATATATATAATTATAAATCTACCAATAACAATTCGGAAACATAGAATTAAAATTAGTTGTACAAAGCATTTTTCAATCTTTGAATGCACATTAGATAACCCTTAAATTTGGTCTTAAAAGTCTTAAGCAAAATTGGCACGTAAATGTGCTAATACTTTTACATTTGGTTTACAATAATGATCAGTGATTCACATGGAACTATAATATTATTTTGTACTATACAACCCAGAAAAAATATATTTAAGGAAGTCCATTGTTTTAACCGTGAAATTATTTGATATCTAGCAACTTTTACACGTAGTCAGCATGCAGAAGACCTGCTGTGTACCACCCGTGTGTAATTAAACCGTGCCTGTTCAGCTACGTACAGTTAATTTGTGTGCGGGCTGTACATATCAGGTCTTACAAGCACTAACTGGATTTGGAATTTGCTAGGTATCATAGTTTCACAGTTATACTCGCATCTAAAGTCACAAATCTATTAAAAATCAGAAGCAATTAGAAAAAATATCTAGACTGTATCAATCATTCCGAGTTTCCAATGGAAATCGTTGAAAAAAGCACAACCATGATTTCAAAATTGGCAATTTTGCCCAGAAAATCAGCAAAAAGACTCGCTGTGCAGCATTTTGGGCTAACCTCGGAATAATGTCATAGTTTAATTATTTCCAGGTGTTTATATTTGAGGCTCCTACAAGAGAAACGGATCCCCTTAAGATCAAGACTCGGTTCGCAGGTCCACAGTTAGGCTCATATTTCGGAGCTAGCCTATGCACGGTTGACATCGATAGCGATGGTCTGGACGATTTATTGGTTGGAGCACCAAATTATGCGAACCGAGATGGAACCATCAAATACGACCAAGGAGCAGTTTTTGTCTATATGTCTAGAAAAGAGGTAATACCTACTGAATTGTATGTAGACTTGTTTTTATAAAGTTTTGGTGTTTTTACCCGACTACAGCGAAACGAAAAGGAGGGTTGTGGTTTTGGCCGGTATGTATGTAATAATGTTTCTCTGTTGCCTTATAACTTCGACACTACTCATCGTAACTGGACAAATGAGGTATCATTGGCGCCTTAGTTGTCCATGTGCTATATATATATTGACAGTTCTAGCTTGCAATTTTTCTTGAATATACCCGAATGTTAATTAGATGAAAAATAAGTTAAAAAATTAAAACTTTCTAAAACGTGCTTTAACTATAGACGAGTTTTAGTTTTTGAACTTATTTTTTCTTAATCTATAGTATGAAGTATGTAATATGACTTTAATTTCTTACTTTCAAAAATACCACATGTAACACAATATAACTGATTAAAATAAATAAAATAGAACCAAAAGTTCTCTAAAAATATAAATAAAATATTTTTTCTTTAGGACTTCCGATTCGTATTAAGAGAGTCTGGTCACGTGATGGGGTCTGGAGAGAGCGGAGCTCGATTCGGTACTACTATAGCAGATTTAGGAGATGTGGACGGCGATGGATTTAAAGGTTATGATCAAATGCTTCAGAATAGCAAGCAATTTGTTTACTATCGATTACATTTTAAAATGATGAGACTAAAGATAGATATGGTATAGATTACATTTTTCTTTGTATAGAAATACTTCAATGTAATCTTAATAAATTTAATGAAGTTTAAACTTTAAATATTACTCTCAAGGATTATATTTGTAACAGCACAAATAAAATCGATCCCGATGAGCCCGTATGTCACTCTCCTAGTTGGTTTTTAATTTTAACCATAATTAAATTTTCTCAAACGGTGAATAAGTCCTCTTTGAGCCACAATATTATATTTCACATACTTACCCACTCCTCACTGTGATAATATTTGTCTTATTCATTAGCATATCTTTCTTCATTTATATTTTTTCCACCTATCACAGATGTTGCGATAGGAGCGCCTTGGGAAAACGATGGTGCAGGTGCAGTATATATCTACCGAGGGAATGAGAACGGATTAAGTAACCAATATGACCAAAGAATTTATGCGGAAGGTGCGAGAAGTTTCGGTATAGCTTTATCAAAAGGATATGACGTTGATAATAATAAGTATAACGGTAAGGAGAGAAAATATTACTTTATTTATTCAAAAAACATACGCCTACAAAGCACCTCACTAGATGGCGACTCTAGCAAAAGTTGATTTTTACAGGAAACGAACGGACCAAAGACAGTCATTTCCGTTCCTTTTAACTAACATTAAAAAACTGAAATTTGCAAAGTTCAAACTTAGATATTAATACAAATACGAAAAAATACAAATAGAATATGAGTTGTTTATTGAGTTTTGAAAATTAATTTACTTTTATACATGAAAGAAAACCGGACGGGTTGTCATGGAAAAATCAAGAAAGTACCGTAACGACATCTAGTTTGATTTCGGGAACTAATGTGTTTTTTTTTAATACTTCTTCATTATCTCCAGGACCTTCACATATCTTCACTCTATGCTCATTATAATAGATTTCAATTGGTTTTAGCAATATTATATTGAAAATTCAAAACATGGAATTATTTCAAGTCGTTTTTTGTCAATTTATTCAAAGCCTGTAAAAAGGCAATTTATAGCCCGGATATTGTTTTCTTGTTAATTTATGATTTGTTCATTTATGCCTATGATATACTAACCACAATCAAATATATATATACATATTGATATCATAATGAATGCAAACAAATAACATGTCCATTTAAATTCTATAAATATTTTATCATTTTCATTATGAGTGTTATTCATAGGAATAAACATGTGGTCTTATAACCAGGGAAATAAGTACAAAGTACTCTATAAATATAAAAGTTATCATGTATTTAAATTATTTTTGTATACAAAGTATATTTGTTGAACACTTAAATCTGTAGTACAGAATATTTGCCATTTACTGGGTGATTTAATGATTTATGACATTCATTCACCCCGTAAATGACAAATGATACAGTTTTCGGACTCATTTTACAATAATAATTATAAATATTAAATTTACAAAATAAAATTGGAGTGTCTGTTTGTAATATTAAAATAATCGCTTTTCACTAGATAAATTATATGTGTATACAATACAAATTACAAAAATAATATTTTTTACATGTTTTATCCGTTTGAATTAGCTAGACTGATTTTGCCGTGACTTTCACTAGCTGAAAGCTTATGTAATAAGAGTTGATTAAGGCTACTTTCAAACACCTAGTCCACTTTGTAATAAATCAAATAATAATAGATATTAGGTCATCCAAAAAACTTAAATTTTTATTCAGATATAGCTGTGGGTGCTCACAATAGTGGCACAGTATACATGTATCGCAGTATACCAACGCTCCATGTGGTTACATCAATAAAAGTTCCAGATGCTAAGAGTATGAAACAGAATGCTACCCATTTTAGTGCAATGTTCTGCATCACCGTATCAAGGAGTCAAATCGTGACTAACGCTGAAATAGGTAATTAGATTTTATTTATTTACAGGAATTATATTAAAAAAAAACGTTACTCGCTATTAATTTACCTTTATAAGTTGGTGAAAGAATTTTTAAAATGAGTGAATTTGTTTTATCTATCTTTATTGCCCATTTAATCCCATGAAAATTAGTCAAAAGTTTTTGAGCTAATTGTATTTGAACATTTTATTTTATAATATCATAGTGTATCATACGAGTAACATAGTGCAACAGATTTAAGTTTCTCTCAATTTAATATTACCAAACACTTCAAGAATAACATCATAATTACTTTTATATTAAGCTTTTAAATAAGTCTCGACAATATTAATAAAAAAGACATCTTATTCTATATTGCTATTTAACGTTTTATTAACATTAACATTTAATTCAAATTTTCTCAATAAGAAACAAAAGTTTCTTGAATATTTGAGGCACTTGCTTATTTGTAGTGAATTTTGCAAATAATTTATAATTATGAGACACTTATTAATGGTATATTGTTTTTAATAGAAATGAAAGCCTCCATTTCCGTGGATCCGGAAGGTAACAGAGCCAAAACACTCGGCGAAGAAGAGTACACCATCAAAGTGAAATCAGGCTTCGAAACTTGTGACGAACAAATCATAGAAGTTAATGTAAGTATCCTAGTCTAGTAAATTAAACGTGACTTGGGTCGAGAATCTATCGTACTATATTAAATTTAGGTCCTACCTTTTTTTACGCAGCAATGATACCTTCTATGACAATTCGGGAGCAAAAAAAAATATTGATTTTGTATTGCGCAAATCGTTAGCCTTTTGTGATAGTTTATTTATGTCGTGTCTTATGTAGATGATTAAGTTCCCTTATTACAACCCACTTTTAGCCTCTTTTAACTTAAAAAGGTAACGTATGACCTATACCACGCTCTTTATCTCAATAAAACTGGATCGGTGGTTTAGGTGTGAAAACAGACAGCCATTTAATTTAGACTGTAATCGACAGCAAGCATAGAGGACTGTAGATATTTAATAATATAATTTTTAGCACAGAAAAAGATTTATTGTTGACCAACGTACAAGAGCAAGATATAAGAGAATACATTAACAAAGTCAAAAAGTAAAAAGAATATAAATTAAAAATAAGTATAAAAACCTCCTTAAATAGGCCAGTAATAATATATCTAAAACATGGTAAGGCTGTCGGTAACATAGACATTAAAATTAAACATCGACGACAGAGTTACTTTTGCATATATAAAATTATTATAGTAGCAAATGCGGATTATCATAATGTACTAAGTGACCAATGTAGATGCAATAGAAACCATAATATAAAGTAACCTCATACTTCAAATTAAAGCCCAAACGCGCTAAGAGTCATCGAACTCCTCAGATAATTAATAATACAATTTATTTCAGAATCAGTCAGATTTATCGAAACCTATCTTGCTGAAATTCGATTTAGAGCCAATACAAAATTTAGGTAAGAAAATATTAATTACATATTTTTATTGTTTTGTAAAAAATACAAAAAAAAACCTTTTTTATTTAATTTAAAACAAATATTGAAATAGTGGAAAAATTTAAACTTCATTATCATTCTGTTCAAGAATTTAATTTATTAGAGAAATGAACAGTTTTAACACTTTATTAACAATACAATTTGCAGACAATTTATTAAACTTTCCTACAAACATGGCGAGGGTCTCGAAGGAGTCGAATTTGCACTCTTCTTTCCTGATCCAGTTGCTCAGTGACTGCGGTGATGACTTGGTCTGTACGCCGTGGCTAGAAATGTACCTGGAATCTTTAAATAGGTAAGTTTCATAAAATCAGATAGTATGAGGTTAAAAGTCCTAATTCTTCTTCATTTCTTTACCTTTGTGTAGCATTTTCGTCTATAATATAAAGTAAGATTGAGATAGAAGATAAAAAAGTCTGGTTTGCCTCGTATATGCAAATTTTCCTTATACAAAATAAACATCAATAAATTATTTATTGCGTCATGGGAATTTCTAAAATACATATGTTAAATTTAAATATCTATTTATACAGCCAATTGTCAGAAAACAGGAAAAAGAAGGATTCGCTGGCATTCTATAGTTGTTATTTTAAATTATTATGAGTAACTAAAAGGAAATAGAAATTTTGGTTTCGTGCTGACTTAATTCTAGGAGCAGTTCTATGCTTCAAAGTTCTATAAATTATTGAAATAGTTGCAAACTTCTAACGAACTAACACTGATATTGTTTCTGTCTACTATCACTTTTAATGGTGTATTTTTTTGCAGTCCCTTTATCCCAGGTGCAAATGGAAAGCTAGGAGTAAAAATTACAGTTCTCAATAAAGAGGAACCAGCATACAGTGTTAAGTTGCGAGTGTCTCTTCCATGTCCACCAAAAAGGCTACTCGAGTCATGCTCCTTAGAAAAACTGGACATGATCTGTGATCTTCCAGCTCCGTTGAAGAGAAACAGGACAGCTGAATGGGAAGTTGAATTGGAGTATACTTGGAGTGGTACTGATGAATCGTTGACTGTGAAAGCAGCTCTCGAAGACCCTACCTATATGAGGAACATAAGTGACGTACCGAAGCAAATGGTGATACCAATTGTGCCCAAAAGTAATTATACATTTAGTGGGTACGTATAGTTTTGTGTATTAATTTACAAATAGAATTTATCCTTTTATATTCATCGATTTAAATACAATCGAAAATATAGCTGTACCGTTTTCTTTTTTGTTTTCTAGAAAATCTCTGCCTAACAGTACCATCAGCATCACACGAGATACTTTTAAAAAAAACGCCGACGTTTTGTTCACTCATTACTTTGAGGTAAATATTTAACTATTACATTCATTTATAGCCAATCCAATTTCTTTTAAGTTTATAATTTGTTGCAAATATATTGATGACATATAATAGTGTTACGAGTTCAGGTTCGGGATAAAAAATAACGCCAATTATAGTTCACAATCCAACTACTATTCACACTTCAACTTCACTAGTCCACGTCACTAATACTACTATGTCCGGACAGTTTTCACTTCTCTAGTATTCACTTTGAGTTTCGCTTTGGATTTCGTATTCAATTAACTAGTCACTGAAAGAAAACCGGGACGTGCTAGGTCCTAACCTAGAAAGAATGAATGTTGTAAGTCCTAACTTACAACATTCTAGGTTGGCCTCTGCCCTACCGGTGTTTTCGAGGCATTACAAAAAAGTTCTAGAATAGCTGCCCGTCCTTTTCTTCCCATACCGCCAAATACATTTTTTTTCAAGGTAACAAATCGAGGTCCATCCGAATTTTATCATGTTAGCGCTATTGCGTATCTTCCTGAAGAGGCTGATATAACAGACGCTATAGAAGAAGTGACTATGGAAGACGATAAAATGAAGTTTAATATTGAATCTTTAAAAGCTGGCACCACAAAGACATATGTTTTACCATTAAGATTTAATATGGATAAATTCGGTTAGTAATATTTTCAATTTTTTATTGTACTCTAACCGATTTAAAAATTGAGAATACAAAGATAAGAACGTCTCAAACTGTACTTTAACGTCACTTAAATAGGCTTACCTTTCTGATTTTAGTTTTTTTAATAATCAGTTGATAACAGTTTTATATAACTGGGATTTATTGACCTGTGATATATAAGAAACATAAGTTATTAAGAATAATCCGTTGAGATTTTCTACTTTTCTTCATCAAGAAAGCGGCTGTAACACTACGCCACTGTTTAGATAGGTAAAAGTTTTAAGTTTATAAAAGCAGCACTTGCCGAGTTTCCTGCCAATTCTTCTCCTTACAAGATCTCCCGATGTAAATTTGCAAACCATGAATGGGCCGGCTCGACCGGAGTGATACCACGGCCTCACAGAAAACCGACGTGAAGCAACGCTTGCGTTGTGTTTCGTCGTGTGAGTGAGGGTACCGGAGGCCCAACCCCTCCCTATTCCATTCCCTCTACCCCTCAACCCTTCCCTCTAAGGCCGGCAGCGCGCTTGTAGCCCCTCTGGTGTTGCAGGTGTCCATGGGCGACGGTAATCACTTACCATCAGGTGATCCGTCTGCTTGTCTGCCCCTATCCCATAAAAAAAAATAGAGTTTTGATTTTCTAGACTGAATAATTGATTTTGATTTGATATAGATTTTATATACATTTCCCATTGCATTAACAAAGCTATATTGTTATTTACCTCAATGTATTAGTTAGTCATCTCAACATAAATAGATATTACACTACAATAATTCAGTAGTTTGATTAGTCTCGATCAGCGTAAAAAGAAGATCAGTGGCGCAATTGGAGATTGGTCACGTGTTTGAGTAATTGATAATGTTTATATTTAGTAAAATTATCAATTATTGAATTTATGTCATTTTCTATGTGAATTTATTTTATACGTTTAGCGATGAAATTAAATGTTTCATGAATAATTAAAATAGAAAGACTTAATACAATAAACTGATATACTTGTGCTAATTTTATGTTCAGACAATTTTTTTTTAATACTTTTATTTCTTTTTCTAGCTGAAATATTAGATGAAAAACTATTATTGAACGTAACTTCAGAGGTACATGTGTATTTACAACATTATCACGCTTCAGTGCTTTATAATGTGTAAGTTGTTTTTACTAAGGTAGAAAAAAGCTTAGCTTTTTTTTGTTATGGACTTTAATAAATGTTTTTTTATCCATTGACATATTCTGTAATCTGTCATATTACGCAAAACGCCTTGCACAAGGTGCCGCATAATGCATGTCATAACAATAACGTTAATAATTTTTTCCTAGGGCGATTCCTTAATATTTAATTTAGTTCTAATTTTAAGAGACTAATTTTTACTTTAAAATTGCTATATTCATATGTATTTTATTGGAATTTACCTAGTTGAATAAAGGCATATCTTAATTCAAACAGGTCAACGACTGTTACAACTACCCTCATTCTGGAACCAAAACCACCTCTATGGCCGGTTATTGTTGGCTCAGTAGCGGGTCTACTGCTGCTTGCCCTGATCATCCTAGCTTTATACAAGGTACGGTACTTTCTTGGTCCTCGAAAAATAACTGACAAAAAAATCAAATGTAAAAAGTAATCGAGTACCTGGGACAGTTTCTTTCAAATAGTATTTCTAAAATCAACTATAATAAATACGAAACGAATCAATATAATAGCAGCTCACTTGGCTTATATCATCATCTTTGGCATTTAAAAGTTGACTTGGTTACCTATCCTATGGCTGACCGCTGTGAAAGTTGTTTAACTTCCGTAATCGTGACCTGAAAGCGCTTAACACTGCGCCATCAAGCTCCTCATAACTTTGTCTATTATTATACAAAAAATAATTGAGTATAATAAAAAATAATTTTATTAAATTAAATATTATAATTATGTAATATTTTACATTTACACAGCAAAGGGAATTTAGATTTCTAAGATTCAGAAATTTCACCGTTGTTACTTATAAAAAATGAAGTATAAAACGGAATTTCTATCCATGACAATTAAAATAATATTTTTCCATAAACAAATCAATGGCTTCTTTTTCAGTTGGGATTCTTCTCGAGACAGAAGAAAGAGGAATTGAAACAACTAATAGAAAACACTTCTCAAGAGGAAGATCCAGCGTCATCAACGAGTCCTTCGTCGTCAAAACACATGAACTCTAGTCAAGAGCTTTTAGATTCAGATACAGAATAATTTTAGGGGATATTGAGAGAAATTTAATGGAGAAATTTTAACCATAGAGATGCCATTGCATTACTTTTACGAAAAAAAGAAATATGTAAAACAATAGAAAATTTGAAGGTTACATAGTTTTATGAATATGAATTAATCTGTATTTTTGTAAGACACCAGTGCTCAAACACTGGTCTCTATATATATAACCTGTGTAATTATATTTTTCCTTTTTCTTCATAATCTTTAGTAAGTCGAAAATTGTATAAAATCTAAATAATTATTCAACTCAAGCAAAACTCCAATCAATTTTGAAGAAAATTAATTACTTCTTTGAATATTTCTAATAATACACTGACCTGCAAAAGTATGTATCACACTTTTGAAACCTATTTTTTTTGTAATCTATATAAGTTTAGCGATTTAAAATAAATACCATGTTTTAGTAAATTTTATCAGCTTTATTTACTTTATTTTACTAAATTAAATTCTTTTTCGAGTCCTTTTTATTTCGATAGTGTATCTTGTGTACTTAAAAAGTTATTGCCATTTTAAAAGTGTGATACTTAGTTTTGCTGTCCAGTGTAGAATAAATACAAATTGTTAAAAAAAAACATTATGTATAAGGAAGCTCTATTATGAGTCACGCCAAAGTCTAGGAAAACTGAGAATATTGAAACTATAATTGTAATGGTTGGTTTTATAATTGTAAGTGTTCTGTCAGCGATTTTGCCCGCTTGATCTTGTATTAAACATATGAACCTTCCTCTTCAACATAGATTGCTTAACGTTGCTAAAAGTGCTAAAAGCGACTTTAAGTTATTAATTAGACATTTAAAATAACACACTTTTTCATTGGTCGTGGGCCTTTTCCATTGGCGTGCTTTCCTGCTGGTCAGAACTGTCATTAGCTGGAGCAAGAAAAACATCGGATGTGCAATAGCCGCTAATCTTCGAGGCGATGGACAAAACGTTATCTTTCTCACTCAAGCAAAAGGCGGTTCTAGCCGGTAGAAAGAGAAGAGCGTCGGAAAAATTTGTAACGTGCTGCCAGGTGTATCTCAATCTTTATGACTCATTTACACTGACGATAAGTTCAGCGCGCGAAGTGTGAGCAAATTCTATGTTCTCATTTTCATTAGCCAATAGTACCCAACCGACAATAATAATCATTTATTTCTCTTGCCGATGAAAACTAGGAACAGAAACCTCCTGCACGCCACATGCAGACATCGTCGACAGTGAAAATATTATAATTATATATGTGCAATGCTATACTGCAAAATATGATTTATGAAAAATGCTTAAACAATCCATTATTATTTGAATATTGCCAATATTATGTTACAATAGGCACAATACAATAGTCCTGTAACAATAGTAAAGAACGCAAAATTATTTTCCAGAGATGACCCCTGATTTAATTAAGCAACCCTTTTTTTAATTATACCTACTATATAACTTACTACACGCTATCTAATTCACTACATGCTATCTAACTTACTACATACTATCTAACACACTATATGCTATCTAACTTACTTCATGCTATCTAACTCACTACATGCTATCTTACTTACACACTTTGTAACTATTAAAATTAAATAGCAGTAGGCCAATTCTGCTAATGTTTACGTAATAATCGCATCTCAATAGAAAATCAAACTACTTGCTTTTGCCATTTACTATCTACCTGAAGTCCAATATTATTATATGTATATCTGTCATTGTTGATTTGTGAGGCCTACAGATGAGGTGTTTTGTACAAGAAATTTATACACTGACACACTAATAAACATTCAATTAATATATAACAAATAGCATAAAATGAAGTCGCTTTAAGCTGTCTGTATTCTGAATTCTTTTGAACTACGCAACATATTTTAATGTTTTCGTCACCAATATACAGCGTGATATAAGAGGAAGGTTCATATATTTAATACAGGATCACTCGGGCAAAACCGCTGGTAAAAAAGTGGAGTTAGTACCATAATAATTATAGTTTCAATATTATAACTTTTTCTGCCACTCTCAATTAAGAGAAATATTTATTTAACGAAACCAAAGTTGTTTTTATTAAAAACTAAAAAATAATTAGAACCGATTTCCATTTCTTTTTTCACTTTTTTAAGTTTAAAGTCGATTCTATTTTTTATTCGTAATAAGAATCTACTCTTAAGTCTGACGGATACTATGCTGAAAACTGCATCAAAATCGGTTCAAACGCGAGATAATCGCGCACAAATTACAAACATACATACAAGTCTATCTGAGAATCTTTCTTTTTTTAAGTCGGTTAAAAATGTATAAAGTTTGATTTGTTTATACAAGCTTTATGTATAATAAAACTTGTTTATTTAAAAAGAAAATATTGTATTTGAATTATTTTGTGGTTTAATTAGTTGAAAGTGATTTCAAAAAGCTTTCACAGTGTTTCTTAAGTACAAAACATATTTCATTCTAATATAGTTATATATATTACGCATATTAAGCTTCTAACTCTAGAACAAAACAAGAGCTTTCGCTTGGTTGCCCCGGGCTGCGAGCAGCCCGGGGAGGTCACGAGTAGCTGGTGGAATCGGGGCGGTGGGGTTTCAAGTCCGCCTCGAAGCGGATTTTAATATTTTTCGTTTTTTTATCATGTTGGGTTTACAGTTTGAAATTGCTTAGAAAAAGTTAGTAAGTTCTATCTTCAAATGAAAGGTGTTTAAGCACCATACATCAAATAAAAAGGGTTGCCAGTTTACGCTTAATAGAAAAAGAAATATTCAGTCGAAATACGCAAGAAAACCTTAAAATAAATTTTGTATAGATCGGCTTGTAGTCTTTTATTCTCTTATTCTTATTCAATAGTAAGTTAATATTTAGTTAATACAGATATTGGGGTTTTAAGTCCGCCTCTTGTTATGTTGGGTTTACAGTATAAAATTGCCTAGTAAAAATTAGTAAGTTCTATCTTCAAATGAAAGTTGTTTAAGTACACAAAGCACTCAATAGAAAAACAGTTGCTCATTTACACTCAATAAAAAATGAAATATTCAGTCGAAAAACGCTAGATAGGCTTGTAGTATTTTACACTCTTATTCTTATTCAATAGTAAATTAATTTTTAGTATTAACAACAACAATCGACATATATTTCCGCAAGTGTTACTATTATTAATCATTATTTATTGTTTCTGCATATATATTTTAAAACTTGAAAAAAATACTTTATAATACTAAACTTTGAGAAAAGATGTGTGCGTTTATAGAAACTATTTCACAGAAATTAAGTTACAATATCAAATTAGTTTGAATAAAAAACGAACATTATTTTTCATACATCTAAAAGTATAGAAAAATGTACGTAATAATTATCGTGTCAAAAATTGCAAAAATTGGGAATACAAATGATCCATATACACGCTATAAAGCTCCCGAATTGTCAAGTGAATCAAAATCAAATCTGAAATTAAAATGGTTACTGCGCGGGCTAGATAGCTCATAGTCAGCCTTACATCTTTTAAACATTATAAACCAAATGTTAACCATCAACAAAAGCGATTCGTTTCTGGCACTTCGCCGGCCGCTGCCGCGGCACGCTCGCTACGCTCGCTCGGCTCGTGCGTTGTTTTTCATACACTAACCTAACCTAACCCATATGTCATAATAAACCTATACAAGTTTTGTTGCTTTACTTATTGTAAAGTTCTTGAGCATAAACGAGTCGCTTGTGGAATCGGAGCGGTGGGATTTTAGGTCCGCCTCTTGTTATGTTTACAGTTTGAAATTGCCTAGAAAACGTTAGTGAGTTCTATCTTCAAATGAATTATGTTTAAGTACACAAAGCCCATACGTCAAAGAAAAAGGGTTCCGGTTTACACTAAATAGAAAAAGAAATATTCAGTTGAAAAACGCAAGCAAAACTAAAATAAAATTTGGAATAGATCGGCTTGTAGTCATTTATTCTCTTATTCTTATTCAAAAGTAAGTTAACATTTAGTTAATACAGATATTGGAGTTTTAAGTCCGCCTCTTGTTATGTTGGGTTTACAGTATAAAATTGCCTAGAAAAAGTTAGTAAGTTCTATCTTCAAATAATCTTTAATTACCAAAACATCATACATAAAAAAAAGTTGCCGTTTACACGCAATATAAAAAGAAATATTCAGTTCAAAAAGTAAGAAAACTTAAAATAAATGTTGTATACATCGCCTTGTAGTCTTTTATTCTTATTCAATAGAAAATTTCCTAAAAATCACAGTATCAAAAAAATACTGTTTTTTATCATCCGGCAACACTTCAACTGAATACATTTTTTTTTCTGTAAGTAATCTGAAAAATGTTATCAATTACGCCAAAATCAGCTCTATAAAGTAAAAACCGTGAAAATTGATACATTTTCTAGCACACTTATAAGCACATTTGGTCACAGTTCCTTAACCGATTGACCAGGTCTCCATTTATTATGGCTCGCTTCGCTCGCTTTTTCTTTTCGTTTTTTTCGCAGATCTAATCTAACCGATTGATGGTGTCCTTTATGGCTCGCTTCGTTCGCATTTTGTTTTAGTCACAGTGCTAACCCTACCAATTAACCAAATATCTCTTAACAGTTACTCCTTATGGCTCGCTTCGCTCGCTTTTTATTTTATTGACAGTTCTAATCTAACTGATTGATCAGGCCTCTATTGATGGTGTTCTTTAAGGCTCGCTTCGCTCGCATTTTATTTTAGTTACAGTTCTAACCTTACCAATTAACCAAATCTCCCTTAATGGTTACTCTTTATGGCTCGCTTCGCTCGCATTTTGTTTTAGTCACAGTGCTAACATAACCGATTGATCAGGTCTCTTTTAATGATCTCGCATTTTGGCTCGCTTTGCTCGCTCTTTATTTTGGTCACAGTCCCTTAAACGATTGACCAGGTCTCCATTTATTATGGCTCGCTTCGCTCGCCTTTTGTTTTATTCACAGTTCTAATCTGATTGATCAGATTTCTATTGATGGTGTTCTTTAAGGGCTCGCTTCGCTCGCATTTTATTTTAGTAACAGTTCTAACCTTACCAATTAATCAAATCTCTCTAAATGGTCACCCTTTATGGCTCGCTTCGCTCGCTTTTTGTTTTAGTCACA